GCACCAACTATTCGTTAACACGAGGTCCACCAGGTTGCTGCCCGGCTAAATACATGGGGATGTTAGCCAAGATTTCTGATTTACCCTGCTCCAAATCAGTACCTAATTGAATTACGGTGCCTTATCCTTAGCCGAGGTGTTTTTATACTTGCCACCCAATTATAGGCACTTTTTTTCGTGTTTACGTATGCCTGTCTATGTTTTTATCTTTTTTCTTGTTTACTTTCCGCTCCATTCATCTTTCTCTCAGCTTATCTTTCTTTGCTCTGTCTCATCCCTCTACCCCAAAGAGTAAGCCAGCGTTGTGCTCTTCTAACTGGTAGTTACCAGCTTGCTGTCTGCTTATTTTGCTTTGGTTCTTTGTGTATCTGTGCATGCAAATTAAATTATTAAATAAAGAAGTTTAGCAAATTGACATCACAAACTGTGCATGTGCTGAGTGAAATAATTACTACGTCCATGCAAGGGGAGCTTCTTCCACTTTAAGCACATTGTGATAGTATGATGCGCGTGGCAGTTATTTGTTCAAGTTCAGTTCTACAAACAAATGGGATGCGGTAGAGATTTAGGCACTTCACTATATAAGTTGAAAATTTTAATGATGCTTATAGCAGTGATTCATCTTGTGCTAGCATGTCAGGATGCCTATAGTATATAGCATTTTAATAGATGGAATATACGTTTTGTATTTAAGAAATCTAATGCTTTTGCGCAGATTGCTTGCGAGAAAGAGTACCATTTGGCACAGCAGGAGAAGACAGAAATTCACCTGACAAATGTTAAGCACAACCAGCCCTCGACAACGAAACAGTCCTTTTTAACAACATCCTTCAAAGATGACAGCCCGAATGCATTCAACGCCGACTTGTGTGAGGCTCTAGTGGCTGCAAACATTCCTTAGACCAAAATTGAAAATTCTGTGCTGAAAAAAATTCTTGTAAAAAATATTGCAAGCAAAACGTCACATCGGAGTCGACGCTGCGTAAAAACCACCTCCGGCCTTTGTATGAAGAAACAATGAAGAGAATCAGAGAGGAGATCTGCGAATACTGCATTCTGATTTCCGTAGACGAAACAACAGCCATGAAGGGGTGCTTTGTCGCTCACTTTCTAGCTGGGAAGCTGGCAGCTCATGAGAAGACAAAGGCCTTCCTTGTGTGTTCGAAGCTTTTGGAGAGAACAAACGGGGAGTCAATAGCCTACCTTGTAAATGAATCCCTGAAGGTTCTGTACCTTGCAGGGGTCGACGACAACAAGGTTTTGCTGCTCTATACATATGCCGCAGCCTACATGCATAAAACAGCTCATCTGCTGAGGGCCTTCTACCCCCAGGTGATGCATGTCACATGCTTAGCGCATGCACTCCACCGTGTTTGTAAAGAACTAAGGAAGCACTTCATTGAGGTCAAGGAGCTTATTGCTTCAATCAAGGCCGTGTTTTTGAAGGCACCCCCTCGCGTTCGGTCATTCAAGGAAAAGTTGCCGGATGTTCCCCTTCCACCAGAGCCCATCATGACACGTTGGGGAAAACATGGCTTGAAGCTGTGGAGTACTACAGCTCCCATTTTGTGGACATTAAGGTTGTGATTGACAGCTTCTCAGGGGATAGGAGTGCAGCTGTAAAGAAGGCTCAAGCTGTCCTCTCGGTAGATAGCTTGCAAGGAGATCTCGCGTACTTGTGCGCCAACTTCACATTTCTTGCCAACACAATCTAGAAACTTGAAAGTTCAGGAGAGCGTCTAATTACGAGCATTAGGCTCATTCTCGATGTGCAGTGAAAAATCGCCGCCGTTCCTGGAGGCCCGGTTGCCGAAATATTGCGTGCAAAGTTGAAGTTGGTCTTAGACAAGAACGAAGGATTTTCTGTTTTTAAAGAAGTTTCAGGAGTCCTTGCTGATGAGCACTCAACAATCCCAGTGTCGGTGAAGCCATCGAATGCTCCCAAGTACAAATACGCTCTAACAACATCTGTGGACGTCAAACGTTCATTCTGAGCATACAAACAGATTCTAAGTGACAAGAGGCACTATTTTGAATCAAAGAATCTTGAGATGGTGGTTGTTTGCTACTGTTACTACAATTTATACAATGATTCTTAGACATTCTACGTGATCTCCGACCATGTTTTTTAGAACTTGCACTCTTCAAATGAGCAATAGTGTACTGGGTAGTGTTGGAACAGCCTGCCTTTATAATTATATTAATTTCATTGTATAGGAAAAAAACAGCAGCACTGTGCTTCACAGTCCTCATGTAAAAAAATGTAACTTTGTGAAATAAATTATCATCTCTCTTGAATTTATAATTTGCACGTTTTGAGGTGTCTTATTCAAACTTCGGCCAGCAGACTAAGTAGCCCACTATTAAATCATTATTTCTGCTACTAAGTATTGTTGTTCGTGTCCATTTAAATATATGTGACGTGTGTGTAAGCTACAGTGACTATAGAACATCCTCATGAGCAGCGGGCTTGTTAAATAACAGCAATACTCATAGATTGCCAGTAGACTTATGGGACCATTGCACGGCCATGTTCAAATGTTGGCACCTGTGTGCCGGCATAGCGAAAATTATTTTCTTGTTCTTCGGTCATTCTTAGAGGTCGTGCACATCTTCGCTTAAAATCATTTGCATTCGGGTAAAATTTTATTGTGCCTATATTTTTCATTGTGAGCGCCTAATGTTCAAGTACTGTCACCAACTAGTCCAGCTTTAAATCCAACACACTTTTTACACTGCATCTCAAAATGTTGGAGTTCTGACCAAAAGTATAAGCCATAGAAATGTATGACACAAAGTTGTCGGCAGTTTTATGAGCAGTGCATACTCCAGTAGTGAACTTTTGAGAACTATGACTTTATTATCGAACATGTAGTCATGTGTCTTGTTATGACAGTCATCATTGTTGAAGTTTTTTGGCTTTTGTGAACTGGACGAAAATATTTCGACGCATTCCAAGCAAAGATGTGCCGTCAAACGGACCGATTTCTTCTCAGCAAAATGTGAACAAGTGGTAAAAGAACAGTTCACGCAAAGAAAACGCACAAGCCAAGAAAGGTCATTGTGAACTCGACTCTATGCAAGGCTTTCGAGGCAAACAAAGCAGCTGGGCCATTTTTAAGGTCACCGTGGATCTGGAGAGACCGGAACCAGCGTTGTATTTTCAGTTTGGACTGAAAGCTAAAACCCATGCCGGTTGAAGCTGCCCCTTGCGAGGAGAAGCAAAGTCCCAAGATTCGCAGTTAAGCCACACCTTCAAGCAAACAACGAGGGATTGAATGTGCGGTTAAAGGAAAGGAAAAAAGTACTATCTTCTGCAGCTCTTGCGGGAGCACACCTCAGCACCTTGACGACGACGGATTAGTCGACCACTCCTCTTTTCCCCTCTCTCCGTAGGATCGGCTGAATGGAGTGGCATGTTTTGACGAGAAACTGTCAGGCCACTACATTGGCCTACCCGAACGCAGTCAGGCAGGTTCGGCACGTGTACCGGGAGCCGGTTTTTTCGAACCTCGCCCAACTGCCAGAAGAGTTCTTGGAAACCAAGGTCATCTAAGATCATCAGACGTGCGCAAAATCTTGGTGACGTGTGCAAAACGCTGGTGCAGTGCATTTGTGACCATCTTTGGGGATAGTGTAGACTGTGCCCTTTCCACGTGCATTGTGTGGTGTGTTTCCCTGCCTTCGATAGTGGAGCACCTAGATCATAGAGCGCCGTATTGGCTGAAGCTGCAGACAATGCACCCAAGGTTAGCAATGCGGCGCTATAGAAGGGAAGATTTTTGTATATTCTCAGTACAAGAGTTCTCCTGTTCAGTTCTTAACTTCTAGTTCATACTTGATAACTTGATCATTTCCTTTCGTATTCTGAGTTACTAACCAAGTAAATAAATTGTCGTTCTTACGAGCGCCTCATCTACCTTGTTCGACGATGAGTCCTAGGACGGGGGCCCGCTACCAGAATGAAACCCGCGAAACTTGGAGTCCGCAACAGCATAGGCAAACATGAATGAAATTCACACCATCTTCTGAAAGGGAACCCTGACGAGATGTGAAGCAGCAGCGTTGCGCACGGGTGGCATCACGGGTTGAACGGTGCTAACGCGGGTACTGCGGTGTTGCAGACGCGACGTCGCCATTCGCAAATGTGAACGGCTTCGCTAACTCCCGCAATGCTGGCGAGAGCCGGGTTATGCCTAATCACTTCGGCGGATTTTTCGGCGGGCGAAGGAGCATTGTCTGCCAGCATCCTTTCCATTGCAGATAAACAAGCCGAATGAGTGTTACCACTCGATGTGCGCTTGAGCATTGCGAGCGGTAGAGAGGGTGAAACAAGACAGAGGTTACATGTACAGACACGTTTCAATAGATACATTAGGTGTGAATCAGATTTATTGCTCGCGAACCGAAGAGTCGCAGCGGTGTACCGAGCAAACGGACGAGGCGGCAGCTGCGGGCGCTGCGTCGAGCGCACGGCAGGCGAGAGAGAGAGTGGCGTCAGCGCGACTGTGAGATAAGTGTGACCTACTTCGCACCGCTCCAACACCTGCAGCGAAAGAAGCACGTCGCAGCCCGTTCATACGGATGCATGGAGAGACAGCATTATACAGGCTAGCCCCCCCAGGAGGAGGGGCTAGGGGAAGGACTTTGGCTGGTTCTCCTAGGGGAGGGCTAGTCAAAGAGCTGCTTCACACTTAATAATATTCAATGACTCTAAATATGTTCTAACAAAGCTGGTATGATTATGCACAGATCTTACCAAAATGAGATCATTCGACCTCCTACACTAGGCACGAAACGACCAGCCCACTTGGCCCACTCAGCCTGAGCTTCGTGAAAGACTTAGCTTTCGTGGAGAAATGCGGATATCTCAACACTTCTTAATGCCAATCTTTATTTTGGCCTTCTCCTGAAATCAGATGCCTCAGAGTGACTGATCTGAAGCTCCAAGCACCTGGATTTGTACAAGCACGGCACGAAATGACGAGGGTCGCACTCACCTGCTACAGCATCAATGCACTCAAGAAAGGTGTCCATGTTCTTCTCGCATTGTGCTTCGTTCAAGTAGAAGTATGTGCGTGCCATCACGTGAGGGTGTCGCCGGTCAGCAAACTGCTCACTGGGCTGGAACTGACGAAGGTGGCCACCTGCACATCCATTACACTGTGGGTGGGTGAGGGAAACTGGGTTTCAAGTTTACCCCCACAGATGTATATGTGACAGCAGCAGCTCTTTCATCGAAGGCTCTGGGACAAGCCATTACCAAACACCTTTATGGGTCGTAAATTATTGCATTTTGAGTACCAGAAACTTGATATGATGACAAAGACAGGCCTAGCCATTATTTTCTTCAAGCAGTAAAGACCAAGTATAATCATCTTTTAATCATGTCATAGTAATGACAATCTTATGATAACAGTACACTTCTGTCAAGCGTCTGATCAGACCAATGCTCAGACAAGTGAACAAATAATTTTAGTTAAGAAACAAAGTTTGAAAATTAAACTTAAATCCAACTGAGCAGTAGTCTTCCACGTGATGTATTTAAAAATACAAGCTTGCAAGGCTCACAAAACATGCTGTTATCAGACACATAGCCATAATATTTTTTTTAGGGGGGGGGGGGGGGGCAGTATTTAGATTTTGAGGAGGGCACCCTATTTAAATGGTCATTTTTCACTTTCAATGGCGTGGCAAAAAACATTTTAGGGAGGGGGGCACAGGTTCGGTGTGCTACCCCCTGGCTACGCTTCTGGCTGGTATACATAGGCATGCACAGGGTTGCCCTTTGGGGGGGAGGCTAAGGTTTACCACAATGCCCTCCCCTTGCCCCTATTAGGTCAACGTATAGGGGCAGCTTTTGTGCCCCTCCCTCTAAGGCAACCAAGGAGGGGAAGGGGGGTTCTACCTCTGCCCCTATCTTTTTTCATGCACATGGCTGCATGGCATTGTGAAAAGAAAAACAGCTGAGGCAAGCAGCTAGCAGATTGGGGCAATCTGTGGCCTCTTAGTTATGAGTGACTTTGAAGCTGTAAAACAACGAGATCTGTAAATGACAAGATCTGCAGTGTCGAGAAAATAAACAAATTGTGATAGATTACTGAAGTCAGTAGAAGACTATGCATACCTAGGGCTAACATTAACAAGTGAGTCTACTTGCGCAAAGCAAATCCACCAAAAAGTAAGGATGGCTTAGTGCACATACAATAGTCATTCTCAGCTCATGAACTATGACCATAGGTGAGCAAACTCAGGATAGTATGGGACCCTCAGGCGAAAACGCATCGATAGTATGGGATTCTCACACAAAAAGAACATGGTCCACTTGGAAAGTGTTAAAAAAAAAACAGTACATTTTATTTTTATTATGTACAGCTGGCGCACATCGGTAAGTAGGCTAGTGGAAAAGGCTGAACTGAAACCTCCAGAATAGCGGCGTCATGCTGCAATCCCCATAATAAAATAGGAATAGGAAAAAAGGTTAATTTCATTCAGCCTGTAAATAAGCGAATCACATGCTCTCATCACTAAAAAAATACTACAAGACTATGACTGCCAAACAGATGTATTTCACAATACATTTTTTTTAGTGAGTCTGAGTGAATCCCACTTTTTTTTTTTTTGATCTACAGTCCTATTTACTCTTTCATCTTTAGCATTACTACGTATCAGCCTTACCTGGACTCACATTTATACTCATGTCCTCCACACACACATTCCAAAACAGTACCATTCATACACCATTTCAACATTTATTGATCAGAAGTGCAAATTACGTTGGAGAAGGGGTGCTATGACTTTCCCTGGCTACTCTTTCAGAAAAATTTTGATAAATATATCTAGGTTGTCAATTCTTTCAATAAAAATGTCCTAATTGGTTTACAACCACTCAACTCATATTCAACTGTACTATATTAAAAGGCGCCATGAAGAGGACCGATCACCTTAGATATCAGTGTTAAGGAACATTGACACTATGGTCAAAAAAGCGAATCCTAGGATGAGTTTAATATAAGAGTTTCCATGAGTCGACTCACTCGGTCTCATTCAAACTTATATCTTGCCATGAGTCTGAGTGAGTCCAGGTGAGTAATATTTGAGTGAGTGTGAGTTCAAATGAGTCCGGTCGAAGAAAACTTTCATGAGTGTGAGTTCGCGCGAGTCCAGCTTCAGGAAACTGGCGAGTCTCGGTCCAAGTGTGTTCAAAGCGCAAAATGTATTCAACAAGTGAGTTTAAGAGAGCTCCACAGGTTTTGCCGACTTGTGGGAGCAGGCATAATTAGAACATAATGAAGCACAGATGAGACAAGTGAGAGAACAGATCATCTGTTGTGTGTTGAGATGAAAGCACTTGTCATAGTGCACTTTAAAAAGCACAGGTGGCTCACCTGATGCCTGTTTGTCCTCTTTGACTTGTGCTTGTGAACTGCAAGACCTGTACACACAATCACTAAGGAGTTACTCAATATATTTCTCAGTAGTAAGATTCAAACACAAGTGTGCATGATCACAGTGTTGTTGAATGCACTGCAAACACAAGCTCCAACAAAATATTTTAGCTGTGTATAATATCTACTTTTCCTAGTGCACAGAGATACTCATAACTAAAGGCCGGATTTAGAGGCACTAAAAAACCCTGTTTTAGGCACCAAAAATGGGCGAGCAGAACACTGTTTGAGGCCCCCAGAATAGTAAATATAAACACAAAAAACTTCAACAAAATTCTAGTTTTCAAAGAGGTACATGTGGAATCTGTGTCTACTTCAGGAAAGCAAACAGAAACGTTTTAGTTTAAATTATACAAAGACGCCAATGATTTAACATAGCGATGCATTGTTTTTTCCTGTTGTGTATGCAGAATGCGGTGTCTCTTTCTCTAGCCCAGCAAGGTGAGCTAAGTTTCCAACATATATTGAATAAACAGGATTTTGGGTCTATTTTTTTTTTTTTTTGGCATAGCTGAGAAATGCAACACAGCATCAAATAACCAGAGCGCTAATAGGCCGCACAGGGTAAATTTAACAGGGTTATTTAATTTAACCTCACAGGGTAAATTTCTCTTCTGCACGTGAACACCTTAAAGTGCCTTTCACCAGGTTTCATCATTTCGAGCAGGCAAAAGGGATGCAGGCACTGAGCGCTCACGATGCCATCTGCCAAAATTTGCAATGCTACTCACCCCGAAAAGAGGTGAAATGAGGCCGAACTCCGCTTAACATTTATCTCATGGTTACACGCCCCAAAAAGGTGGAGGTGAGGTATACAACAATGAATGATCCTGCGTACGTCAAAGTAGTACATGACATTGCGAGATTTATTTAAGGGGACATGTGTAATTTGTGCAATTTGTTGCCAGAATAGAAGTGATGGTGGCCAGAAGTATCAAAACATACAAATTGAATCTATGCATGTTTTTTTAACTTCATATTGAGCGAGATGCGAGACTGAGCTGCCTCCATTTCGTCTATATTGGTGTTCTCGTTAATCTCACATGGTGTTGGTGCTAGCATTCACAACACTTAGCGTGTTTTTGGTGCATCGTCCCTTAGAGCAATTCCATTGGGGCGACACTGTCTACCGTGGTAAGGACACATGATCCGTACGAGTCTGTCCAAACCTGCGCGCATAGAGACATCCATCCCACAGAAACAGGCAGTACAATACAGAGAACATCGAAACGACGCCACACCGTTTGCGTGCACGACCTGGCATGGGCATGTCATGCAAATGTAACCTTGTGTGCGCATGACCTGTCGATGCGCTGGTGTCCTGTGGTCTTCTGGCTCCAAGTTGCTTTGATACCGAGGAGGGCAGGAAAGGAATTTGACTTGTGAAGTCTACATCGGGCGAGTGACAAAGGGTTGAAGCTCACCTTCTCGCATAATGTTTTCGCGGCTCGTAATGAACCAGTGAAAACATTCTAGTGGTACGAAGCTTTTCATTGGGAATGCGACAACTTCCAGTATATTAAGCGAAATTTCTCATGTGACCTACTGAAGTGTCGTTTAAGAAGTAAATGACAAACAAAACAGAAACCATGTGTACATCTTTTTTTTTTTTTTCTTTTGTCTACACTCTACTATCACCGGGTGACACTCCTCGATTTTATTCTTCATCGTCTTGCGGCTGCACGGAAGCACCTCCTGTTCTCTACGCATGCGAGCAGGTGCCGGGGAGATGCCAAGCAGACGACCCGATGTGGGTGAATACATGTGCAGAGGCTAATTGGCCTTCTTATTGGCTAAGAGGCCTTGTAGCTTTGACAGTGCTGAAAGGAACTTATGATATGAAGTATAGGTGGCACCCTATAAATAAAGGACTTTCCATTCATCCATCTGCCTGCTGTAGCTATGCGCACCTTGTTGCTTATGCACAAGTTGCACATTGTGCATAAGCGACACTGAAGTTTTGCTCTGAAGAATAATGAAATATTGATGTACTTTTTATAACACACTGGGCCTTTGTAGGTGCGTTTTGTTGGCTCAGATATTTAACCGGGTATTTTGTTCAGAAGAATGCCATTATGATAGTTGCCTGATACTTCAACAGATATCAGTGTATGGCAGCCCATTTGTGTTGTCATTAGCACTCCTGACCCCAACACACATATTGATGAGGAGGAGAGGGACAACGACAGTGTATACGAATGGATGCCTTCGGCCAGTGATAAACGAGACCGATCAAAAAACTGGCAGAATGCTGCTTCTGTTTAGATCACAAAAATTTGGATCGTTTAGTAAAGGGCAAAGATAAAATAGCTATCATTTGCTATCAGCGTATCGGAATGAAACAAAAACCAAAAATGAAAAGAAAACATTTTTCACTGTAACAAAAATTATCTGTAATATCATTCCAGAGAGAAACCGATCTTTTAAAGACGATATTCTTTTTTGGGAATTACCAACAAAAAAATTTTGATCTGTCTGTCCATTTGTCTGTTTGTCCACCCTTAACAATACCCTAAAGTCACAACGGCACCTAACGATAACCCCAACCATCAACCCCATCAGCAGCGTAAACTAATATTGTTCAAGATTCAGCGTTCATACTTGTGCACTTGTCAATTAGAAGCAATTATTGCACATATCTGAGGCACTATAACAACACGTGAATAGCTTGTATGTGTGCCTTTTTACTAGAAAAGGCATACATAAGTACTTCTATGGACCGTAGCGCTTATCACCCTGCCTTGACGATGCAACGCTTGCACGAAAAGGCGAGTGTTTCCAACGCTTTGCTAAAAATGCAAGGTGGTGGCACCTACCCATCGCCTTGCATTCTGCACCTTATCACCTCCAAAACAGGCGCACAGGCCGCGCGTGCTTCGTTTTCCAAGATAACTGCCAGATAACGCATGCCTCACTTGTGAAGTGACTTGATGTGCTCGTTCGCCTCCGCTGCACGCTCGAGGCACTCTGACGCAGCGCCTCCAGAATACCATTCACCGATTTTCTTGCGCATAACATCAAATAAATGTTTTGTTCACTCTCTCCAGATGCAAGACTATCGTCTTTCGACAACATTTGAAGTATAACATGCAGATACGGGGCCAATTTTTTCTTTGTAGTTTTTCAGTACAAGTGGCAATGGCAATCCAAAACAATCATGTAACATCAGCAATAACCCACATGTCAGCGTACCATACTAGTGCGCATCACAAGCAAGAATTCTTAATTAAAGATGTGTTGAAATTGTGCGAAAAATGAAAACCAGAGATCTTTGTATCAACTCAAGTGGAAGTTTTGTGACACATGCCAGCACAGGAAAGGCACCTTTGGCATGGAAGCTTGTTTTATATACTAAACAAAGGTTTCCCATAAAAAAGATATACGCTCTGAGATGGGCTGCTTTGAAGATCATGCTCACTCCTTGGACTCAATACATTGATCCTGCTAGAAAAGATTTCATCATTTTTAGAAAGTTTCCTGTAACTAAGAAGGGCACTGGTTTGCGCTGATTTATAAGAACTGACGGTGTGGTAAACGTGTTCTCCCCGTGTCTCCCTTTTTTAAAGGAACGTGAGTAACTGTACGACAAATCCAATATTTTTATCATTACTCTAACTTGAAATTTTCACATAAAAAGCCACTATGCAGAGAGAAAGGATAATGATCTGCTAAAAAACAAACATGGTGCAAGCACCAAACCTCATCTGCAGCTATGGCAACGGCATAAGGGGGATTCCTCTGCACAATCAAAAAGCATACAACTACAAAATTTTCATCCATCGAAAAAAATAGTGAAGGCCCCTAATTCAGAGATGATCAACTCTATACTCTGTTCCAGAAGTTCCGTGCAGCAAAGCCAAGGCTACACGACCCTCGAACGCAGGTTGTTGCGAAGTGAGATGTAGTGCCCCTTATACGTAGCCCATTGTTTGTACTCGAGCCTTTTGCGAACGGTCTCATCAAAGAATTTTTACTTGCGGGCTTCTCTGTGTGTTGTAGCTGTGATTTGCATGACGATTTTGTTGCATTTTTCATATAAAACAATTTTGTGGCTCCATGATACTGAAAAAAACGTTCATGCTTTTACGTGTTATAACATGAAAATGACGAAAGAAATAACGCTGTTGTGGCTCGTATGTGTTATGCTTTTACTTATAAAGTACGAAGGAATGATACGACATTGTCTAAACATTTATGAGTAGTCCGCACAGCCTGAGCGTACACAGCACCGTGGAGGACCTAGTCTTGGGTTGTGATTAGTCCGCGGTGGCAGATTTAGTCACTCCTGTCAAAATGGCGGCGCCTGGTTCACCTGTGTGATATTGTTCCCGGATCAGCTTTTACGGCAAGGGAGCGAAGCGGTTGGCTCTAAATGTGTTCGGGACAATGCATAAGAAGGGCGACAGGAATGCAAGCATGAGCTCTTTCATTAAGAGAACGGCTGCGTACACCAACGTCAGCGAGCGTGGGCTGCACAAGTAGGTAGCGCAAGCACGATAAGCATGGTGAGGTACTTTCACCCAAGACGCTGTCTCGCGGTGGCAGGGGACACGATCAAGAGCAGCTGCTGGACGTTTTCGACCTTGGCGTGATGCACACTCATGCACGATTTCTGTAAACTGTTGGAAATTCCGCCGGTGCGCAATCTCGCCGCGTAGTTCAAAGAAGATGACACGCTGCTGTCCGCGTCCGCAACAACTATTCACAGGATGCTGCTCAAAGCAGGCTTCCACTTTAAAAAGTGTTACTGAAATTCGCTCCTGATCGAGGCCACTTACACGATCCAGTGGCGACGCAAGTACTTGCACCAAATGAGGAAGTTTGACGCCAGAGACGACCCATCTTCTACACTGATGAAACCTGGGTGAACGCAGGGCACACATTTTGAGCTGTGGGTGGGTCAACGAGACCATCAAGTCCACTGAGCACACCAAGTAAGCCAACTTGATGACAGGCCTGCCAAAACCCAGTGGTAAGGGAGGTGGCCTCATTATTACTCGCTGTGGCAATGAGGACAGCTTTATCACAGCTACCGGTGAAGTATTTCGAGCCGTAAAGAGAACAGGTGACTATCATGATGAAATAGATGGCGCTTACTATGAAAAGTGATGTAAAGAAAAGCTACTGCCGAATTTGCCGCCACAAAGTGCCATTAAGCTTGATAACGCACCTTATCATTCTGTGAAGCTTGACAAGGTACCACGTATGAGTACCTTGAAAAAAGACATCCTGGTCTGGCTTTCTCTGAAGGTTGTGACCCAGAGCAGTGACATGGCGAAGGCACAACTGATAAAGCTTGTTCAAACCGTAACTACAGAGGGTAATAGGTATCGCATTGACTGCAATGCTGCTGATGCTCGTCACACTGTCATACACTTGCCGCAATACCACTGTGAGCTCAACCCGATCGAGCTCCTATGGAGTGATGTTAAAGGTTATGTTGCAAAAGCCAATACACACTTCAAGATGGAAGGCCTCGATGCTCTTGTATGGAAAGACATAGAGCAAGTCACTGCTCAAAAATGAAAAAATTATGTGAACCACGTAATAAAAGTGCAGGATGACTTATTGAAGATTGAACAGATCATTGATGATGTCATTGATGACTACCAACGCTACACAGCACCAGAGATGACGGACGACACGCCGATTGGCGAGGGCTACGAGGCACAGTCAATCGAGACGACTCACAGCCCCAAGAGTTCGCAGGCGACGAGCCGATATCGACGCAAAACTGTTCAGCTTGAGTTCTTCGGAGCGAATCCTGCACGCCTAGCGAAAAATCCGCAGCGTATTAGGACGCGGTGTGTGCAAAAGTATGGATTGCATACTGTTACTCCGCAATGAGAGAGACAAGTAAAGCACCGGGAATAGAGCCATCATTTCCTACTGAATGCGAGCAGCACCTTGCATGCCCATAGGCATGCGTATACGAAATCTGATGAAGCGTGGTGCTTTCATATTCAATTTGGCAAGTGCGGCGTTTTCCATCGAAATATGAGCCACTGAACCCTATCCCTCAGATGTCTACATGCAAGTACCTCGAATACGCACTTTTTTAGGGTGCCAAGGAGAATATTTAACCGCTTTCACATTTACAGCTCATCTCACTGCGCAGTTGCACAGAGTCCCGAAACGCTCTTGCTGCTTTTGCTGCAGCATGTGCCGCTAACAAACGACAGGGTGCGGAAGGATACACTTAGATGTGCTCGTCCTCCTGATTGATTGAGAAGGCCTATAGCTTCCACAGTGCTGCACGGAGCTTCTGGAACAGAGTATACACATAGAGGATCTGCTAACCAACGAGAGGTTAACAGACTCACTATGAGCTGATTGCTGCCACTCACTTGCATAATAGCAAGGTATTACTTGTACCTGAAAGAAGTGGTCACTAGCATCCATTCTGTCAGCTATTAACCTCTATTCATACAAAGAAGATTGAAAGATGTTCGAGGTGTACTATCCCTCATAAAAAAAAAGAAATAGTGCTGCAAAAAGTCTGGCGTTATGCTTTACAGGAAGCCTTTGGCAAGTATTATATGCCAAATGAACTTTGGTATTAGTTTTGCAAGGGTGTAGCGACCTTGCAATTTTTTGTACCGAGCTAGCTTGCCCACAGCTAAGGCAAGAGCTGTGCGTAATTTCTAAAGTACAGTATTATGGCTTCTGAGAAATAACTGTTACTCTATAAAAATTTGCAGCTCCTGTTGTCTACTGTAGTTTGATAAATATGTGAACTTTGATGGGTTAATCAAAATCAGAATTTGTTACTATGATTTAGCATAAGAATTATACTATGTGAAAACACCCAGCCGGACTCGACACAAACCTCGTACCAGTGATGAACAGTAAAAAGATGTTGCTTGGCACTGCATATTTGGTTGATGCATTTGCCTATGAGCTACTTGTAGGATAGTAGCCCCATTAATATGCCAGAGTCAAACAACGTACGCCATCTCTGCCTCTTTGGCTTCCTGTTCGGAGAGGTCCTCCTCGGCACTGTAATCGAGTATTGCTTTGACACCGAACGATCGCAGGCGCTGCAGCAGGGGCTGGATGGCCGACGCCGACTGGCCGCCCACAAAATGGCCATAGAAGGTGTTGCGCATCAATGCACGGAACAACCGGCGACCTAGCACCCGCTGGCCCAGCCGGAGAAGCTGCAAACACAAGAAACAGCAAGGCCTCAATATACTGTATTGCTTTAAGTTGCTCACATTGTGTGCGACACATTTAGTGGACAGCAAACACATAAAGCGTCATGAAGTCGCAGGGCATAGCAGCAAGAACTAAGGCATGATGCGGCATGTCTGCTTATCTTTGCTAAGATAAAGTATTTCAACCATGGACTTATAATGGTCATTTTTCACTTACTGAAGAAGTAAACATTCCTTTAAAAATTAACAACAGAGCTGTTTAAGCTCAGGAAATCTCTGGTGTGCCTTCTTTGTGTCCTCATGTTCAGTGTGCTTTTATCGTTCTAAAACAAGGAATACCAACGTGCCCAGCTGTCTACCTTGGTGAACTCGAAACTTCCTTGCAAAAACACCTTACACGAACAATATGTCAGGAAGGAACCATGTTAACATGTGCAATTCAGTGTGGTAGAACGGCAAAATAATCTGGCATCCACAATGCGAATTCTGTAACAAGGAATCACACAGCAGGAATTGTAAAATTAGTGGGTCATTAATTGCATCCCTCTTATTACTAAGGGCTAAGCTATATTTCTTCATTGCCGTCAGCCACCAAACCAATTTATGGCCTAGTGGGTACCTTGCAAACATACTTGTAATACAGTTGCCCAGGTAGAGCCTTAGAAGGGCTCTAGGAATGCCACTCTGCCACCTTCCACAGGGTTCGTACAGCTTTTCAAAGTAAAAATTTAAGGATATTCAAGGACTTTCCAGAACCTGCCACAGGTTTTTCAAGGACTCGAAGCAGCATGTAAAGTTGGAATTATATCACTTTAAAATTACCGAAAAAGACTAGTTTTATTGCACTCAAAGAAATAAATACCACAATTAAAAGAAAAAAGTCTCGATAACTTCTCAAGATCATAACACACAATGAACAATTAGAAAAGCAGCTGAAATTTCTCTAGTATAAGCTTGGTGAAGTTCACCAAGCATATTCTAAACATTGAGCATCATGTTACTTCACTTTGTTTATAAAAATAACTAAATGCAGAAGAGATATGCACTTGAAATCATTCGTGAAGAGCGCTAGCAGTACGGTAATGGTATTGCCACCTTGCCGATTAAGGCTGAGTGTATACTCCCTGTATCACAATTATATGACTTCACAAGTTTACAAAAGTACACCGTAGCCACGTCTTTGTAGAGCGCGTTAGAAGCTGATTTTCACTCTGCGGGGCGAAACCTCAAGGCAGTTTCGGGCTCTGAAGTGCTATATCAGAAGCATGTGCGGCCTAAATGTCAGACTGACCACATCAGAGCCCGAAACTGCCTCGAGGTTTCAGTCCGCAGAGCAAGAACCGGCTTCTCGCGTGCTCTAAAGAGACATGGCCGTGGCTGTACACAGAAAAGTTAACACACAACGTACACTCCTATTGGCTGCTACGGCTCATACTGTGTAATCTTGGTAGATTCATCAAACGTCTCCAAGACATTCAGCACACTCTTGCTACACTGCCATTAAATGATTGTATATAGCAAATGTAAAACATATCTAATCTTGATTGCTTCTCAAGCTTGATATATTAAAATACATCACAAAATGAACACAAATACCAGCTGCTCAGACATCTCAAGATGATTCAACATAGTATTAGTCCACTCACAGCATACTATCACGAATAAATTTATGCTACAATCAGAGTATATTTTTTTTCAAACGTCCAGTGTTCATCGCCTCTGAAGTTCATAACGCTGAAAAGTTCACAACACCCAAGAACTTTAGAAGAGCTGACGACAGTTATGATATTACCTGGGTAATATTCCTTGAGCATTTCCTAAATACTCTGCATTGTTTGATTGCACTTCCCAAGTCCGTATTAACGAGAAAGAAAAGTTCACTACAAATGTTCACAACTTCTGTTAGGACTCAGCTCAATACTGCATTTTCAAATATCTTACAAATCTTCAGTTCTGAACACTTTCATACTCCTAACAAAATACAAATGTTCACAACAAATAACAATCAGCAAATAAGCAACAAACAAACAGCAAGTTCACAACAGCAGCTGGGACCTCTCTTGTATTAGCTGTGTGATGTTTACCAGCTCTTCCGCTTCAGTTTTTTAACGTCCTCCGCAAGCTGTTGGACTTCCCTATAACGTGACGTCATTTGATTTTTCAGCTTTTTCTGAATAGTGAACCACAGAAACAGTTAAATCAGCAATGACAGCTTCCAGTTCTTGTTTTTCTTTTCTTCATGTCCTCGATTTATACATTGATCAGACGCTTTTTTAGATGTGTACTGTCACGAAGTTTCTCTTGCTTTTGAGCCTCTATGAGTGAATTGTAGTGATTACTTGCTGCTGACACTGATATTCGTAGTTCCTTTGTGATGAGAGCATTCAGGATACCATCAGCTTTCTCTACAGCATCACGTATCATGGGTTGTGACACATAGGACAAGTCAGCGAGGTTCTCTATTGCAACCTGACAGTTTACACTAAACCCATGCACGACTGTTGCTTGTCCATGGCTGAGAATTAGCAGTTTGACAACATTCCAAAGCTCACCATATGAACAATTTAGGCCAATAAACTCATTAAAGAACTCATCCAGCCAATTTGAACCTTTTTTGGAGAGTCCAAGCATATTTTTTTTCCTGTTGCAACAACTCCGTGTATTCAGCCAAAACAGAGTCTCGTTGCTTTTTGTCAAATCTTCGAGCTGCGGCGAGAGCACTAAGCACTTTCCTTAAGCCCGAGAGACATTCATCTGGCTTGCTGCACATAAGCCGTGGGTCTAAGCATGTCAGGCCTCTGACTAGTATTGACTTCAAAGGGCTCTTGTAGGGATTTTTTTTTTTTTGCAACAGCTATCAAAACCTTCTTACATTCCATTTTGCACTGCAATACATTTTTAGCACTAGCTTTGCAGTTTTCGATGATCTGCTCGCATGTGTAGCCTATGTCCACTTTTTCCAGTGAAACATGCTTGCTCACATCTTCAATATCAAGTCTCATAAGGCAACTGATTCCTGCTGCTGACAGAATTCCACATTTTATAAACTTCATGAGCAGCTTTCTTACAACCGTCTCCAGGTCCTTCACCAAAAAAGAAAACCATAGGCCTGTCAACTTGATATTCAACCAAGAAGGATCTGACAGCCATGGCAACAATTAGGGCAAAGTTCAGCTTTGCTAGAACAAAAGGGTCGTGGAAGAATTGACACAAGTTCTCAAAGGATGCGCACCTCAGTAGGGTGATTTCCTTGTTCTTAGCTGCTTCTATGTATTTTCTCATATTGCTCCAAAGAAAAAGAGCCCTTTCAATCACTTTGACATTTTCCACATAGCGATGCATTAGAAACTTCAGCGGAAATGTGCTCTGCCTAGTTGTGGCTGTAAAATCTTCTCTTCGTGCTGAGGAGTTTTCAAAGAGCGTGCTCAGACTAGATAGTAGGCCATCAAGTCTCCATGTACTGGCCACGATACCCACCCTATAGGTATTGTGGACTGTGTGCAGGCCACATGTGTCAATATCAACACACTGCACTTGGTAGTTCTCATGCAAGTCTGCTTGCAGGAACCTAAATAACTTCAAGTTTGCATTAGGTCCATCCACCGAATTTTGAACCACCTTTTTAAGTGGTAAAGGTTCAAGAACCTTTCACAACTTTTCCTGAATATTGTCACCTGTCACATGTCCCGTGAAGACTGATGCGAGATATTTTGTTTCGATCGTACGTGAGGAATGCCAGCATCTCACATAAACATCAATTTGTTTCTGCTGAAAAAACTCGGCAGAATCATCAAGAAGCACGCATAGCAATCAGAGTTTTCAACCTCACGCTGCATGGCTGATTAAAAAAAAGGTCCACGCCCGTGGCACGCAATGTAGGAGCATTACTTCTCTTCGCAGGAAAAAGCTTTCATGATCTGACAGGAATTGTGCGCCTGAAAAGGTATGCTGCTTGTGCTGAAGACCAGTATGAATAGTGGCTAGTGACCACTTTCAGAGTCCACAAGATTTCAGCATCTGTGACCATGTCATAGGAATTACACGCGGCATCAAAATCCATCGCTTGTGATGAAACCGCGCAGGTGGGTGCTTGGCTTGCGCTAACGTACCATTGTTTCGTCGCCGGGGCAAGGTAGTTAAGCACAGTGCTTCCTGATGCAGCCTTCATTGGGTTACTGCGCTTAGGACTCTGCATGTGGCTTTTAAGTGCCGACTTGCCCATTGCCGCGATGTTAAACGACTACCCGCAAGGCTTACATGAGGCTCGGTGAGGATCGATGGTGCACGGCGCAATCTACTTGTTGTGGCTGTCATTGCTAAGCTACGCAGCTTGAAATGTACACTTCCCCAGCATTATGCCAGTGTTCTTGAATTTATACCACTGACATGAAAAGACGGAAGTTAACATTAAGACACCCGTTGAACACAGGCACCCATTACAACAAACGCACGTGCACAACAATTGCAGTGTAAGGCCAGGCACCAAATAAAAGAAGCTATGCCTTAATACAGCGTAGTGTAGCCCATAGAGGTTCTCACAAATACCTAGAGAAAAGTGTGGCGCTATCGCTATGCGTATTTTTTAAGGGGCAATGTTGGAGCGCTGGGAATGACGGTATATGTGTCTGCGAGGCTTGTGTTGGCAGGTGTTATGCGAGGCTTCGGCTCAAAAGCGAATACAACTGCGTAAATAAAGCTTCTCTAAAACAAAACGTTTATAAGCGGATCTCATTCACGTGTATTATATTCTAAAATAAAAGTCCACTCACCTTGACGGCACAACCAAATGCCGAAAGAAAGAAACAGACGACATAAACATGGCAGAAAGAACGCTCGCTTTGTCATCTGCCTGCCAAGTTAAGCGGCCGTTGTTTACTTTTACCGCTTCGTAAAATTGTGCATCAGCGTAGAAGGTTCTTGTATTAAATACAACATGTTTCTGTGCAGTGATAAAAATAAATAGCTTATTACGTGCTTTTTTAGTAAGAAATCATTCATTTTAA